AATTTGCATTTGAATATACTGTGTTTTACTAGAATATAATATAATTTACTAGTGACATGTACATGTGTCTTTAGGTTTTTGTTTACTCTTGAAGAAAATGCATCAAATGAAAATGACCATGAAGAAGGTACATGACTACATGTACATGTACCCTACATTACATGTACTTATTTCCTTTCCTTATCTCTCTATCAGATCTACCTGTTACTCATCTCCAGTTATTGTTGTTGGTGTGGGGTAGTTTCTCTGATAGCATTAGGAAGGAGTTACTACTCAAGTGTGTTGCAGCTGTCAATAAAGTGGCCGAAGAGAAAGAGTGAGCCATTTTGATTTTACATGTACATGTACATGTACATGCACATGTGTCTCTCTTCTATTCTTCTGGCTTTAGCTAGTTTATTATGTGCATAGTTTATTCAGTATGGTTATATAATAAATAATAACAAACATGTAGGAACAATATGCATAAGTATAATGCATGTACATGTGAATGCCTGTTATAAGCATTACATGTACATGTACATGTATGTTTGTCACATGTTTCTGAAGTATAGAATGTCTTCTCAGAAACATTATGTCACAATTCACAAACATGCAGAAACAGGCTAGTACATGTTATAAACATGCATTAAGCATGCAGGTACATGAGTACATGCACAAACATGCATGTGTTTTTTCCTGGGTGGATTTCTAAATGAACATGTTATTGCATAGTTCATGATCATGTTTCAGGAAACATATGCATAACTTAAAAGTAAAAATCATATTTTTGATTACACGATAAAACATGAAAGTTTGATCATGTCACTTAATGAAGCATGCAACTGTTCCTTAATTACATGTATAGTTGTTGCCTTTGTTTTACTGAGTTTTACTGATATGCAGATCAGGATATGTTGTTCCTCCATTGCCATGCTGTCGCTTGTTGCTGGTATTACAGTACATGGTATTCAGGTTTAATGAACCAGTTCAACAACTAGTACAACAGGTTTGACCACTTTTAATTGTACATGTATGTAATTTTACATCTTTTTCTTCCTCCGTCTCTCTCTCTCTTTTCCATAGGTTGATTGTAATCTATTACCTGATTTGTTAGTCAGTCCGCTAATCAGCACTTGATCATGCTGATATCATGTCGTTCCCGTGTGATCAAGAGTTGCTACTCAAGTGTGTAGCAGCTGTCAATACAGTAGCCCAAGAGAAAGAGTGAGCCATTTTACAAGTACTGTATATGTATGATCAAATGTACAAGTATCTATCCTCTGTTCTTCTGGTTTTTACCTGTTTAGTACATGTGGTATGGTTTTAAGATGTATTAAATGCTATTACAATGTACGTGTAATTATGTGCCTGAACATTTGCATGTTTGTGACATGTTTTTGAGGTACAGAACGTTTTCTCAGAAACATGTCACAAATCAATAAACCCCCGGTACCTCTCCTCACTCCAGTGGCTGCTACCACACCTACCGGCACCACACCCACTGTTGATAATAATAAGAAAAAGAAAGAAAGTATGTACATGGACTTTTATTTGTAAATACATGTACATGTACATGTACATGTATATCATTGTTATTATTATTATTTCTCATATCTCTATCAGGAATTATTACTGAATTATTATTACTGAAGATATGAGGACTGTACTAATACTTGAGCATGACATTGATTTCCAACCTAACTTTAAATCAAATCTTAAAAGAACATTACAAGAAGTGAAGAGTCATGATCCTGACTGGGACCTTGTGTTAGTAACAGTTTAAATCAATAGTTTATTTGTCACTTTTTAGTTATGTTGGTTGTAAAGAGCTG